CATATCCTATTAATTTCATAAGCAATTGACTGCAAAACTGTAAAGCGCAGCAAGGCGCGGTCGAGAGTACGTGACTTTTTCTTCCCTGTCCTTCTTTTTCCTACGACTGACCGCATTTACAACAATAACAATGCGACCAATAACAATAGTAAGAAAAATATCAATAGCAGAAGAGGCAGCTTCTTTAGCAGGCAGTTGCTGTCAGTGACTGAATGGCATACATACATACTATATATACATATATAAAATATGTGCCCATATGTCTGTGTATACAGGAAAACCTGTCGAGTTGAATACAAAAATTATCAATTGTATATAATAATTGTATATAATTGAAATAACACATGTAAATTGCACTGCTTTTAAAGGTCTCGTATAAATGTTTTTAAAATTTACAGATAATAAATTCTTTATCAAGATGGCAATATATACATATTTTATTTAAAGTTAGCAACATATATGTAGATAGATAGATGAGTACATTCTTGGAATGGTATTATTTAGAATATTTATTACAAAAAGAAATCATATTTTTTAAAAAAGAAGAGCCCAGAAATTAACAATAAATTTCTTTATTTTCATCGATTTCACCCAAATACTTTAGTCAGTTGCTCTTTAATAGATAAATTATTATAATTTTTTTATTCATTTTTTAAGAATAGAAAGATGTATGCCAATATAACAAGATATATACGCATATATATGAAAATATAGTTTGACTCAAGGAAAGTCTTACGATCAGGCGGATGAGGCACCGAATATATTTGCTCTTCTAATATCAAATACGTAAGCAAACTTTTTTTTTCCTTATTTATTAAAAAGTCAATGCACTTTCTATCTTCCCTTAATACTATATTAAAAGGCAATGGCCACTGTTGGCTATTCATCCTTAAACGAAGTCCTTCAATGCTTATTTTAGTCACAATAACTTGTTATGGCATTGGGCCACTTTAGACAGCTTTACCTGTAAGAACACAACTTTAATCCAACAAAATCGAATGTTGGCTGACAGCTTGCCTGTCCGCCTGGCCTGCCTGTCCGCCTGTCCTGCCTGTCCGCCAGCTTGTGCCGCATTGTTCACGTTCCAGCCGTGTGGCAAACGTTCGATTCGCCCTGCTTTGGTTTGCTTTTTCTTGTCTCGACGCGACTGCCCGATACAGCTGCTGTGGTGGCTCTTTGATTGTACATTTCGCGAGATTACTGCAAACTCTCATTATTACAAACGGAAGCAGGAAATGAAGTGGCCCGCACGCCAGTTTACGAAACTGTGGCGGGAGTTGGGGGGTGAACCTGACCCACCCCATTCGAAAGTTCAACCTTTCGACCGCGTTGGGGTCATATCAATAACTAAGCAAATTGTTTGCCGAACCGTCTTGGCTACAGCGGCAGCGGAGCACATTGGGCATTGGGTACATACTTTAAATTCCAGGCGCTGCTTCGTTCCTCGGTTCGTTCGTTTGCATCATTTGGTAGCCTGCGATTACAAAAGCAACAGAAACAACAACAAGCGTTTCGTTGCTAATGTTATTTTAGGAGAACTTTTTTAATCTGGATGCTGCTACCACTGCTGCCACAGCTTCTGCTTCTGCTGCTGCTGCTGCCGCTGACAGAACCAATTAAGCGCAACCAAATACACCAAAAACAAGGTTAAAATTCCAACAATTTCGTTGCGCTTCATTCGCCAACAGCTGCCTGGTCCTTTCATACCCTTGAAAAGGATATATAATAATAACTTTCGCATGAGGTCTGCAACACAGGAAAATGGGAGCATTTCCCCACCTGCACTTGATATAAGACAATAGAATATATGTATCATTATAGATAATTCAGCTATATTTGCAATGAATTTTATATACCTAGAGCGTCGTCAATAAATCCCAGAATACAAGGACATTAAGCAATAATGATAAATAAAAGGTTCTTATTTAAAAGCAACTCATCCATCAAGAAGTGAAAAGAGAATATTGAAGTTTATCTGGACAGTTTTTCAGATTTTCTTAGAATACTAGTAATTTATATTTATTTGTTTATTTTTGCACTACAATAACCTCTTCCATAAAAGTTAATTTTTACCGTAAATTATATTTAAATCATTTAAAATGATTTTTAAGCCTTGAAACTTAATTACTCGCAGAAAGAATAAAAGTCCAAGCAAATATTCGAATTAAATGAATAATCGACTATTGCCCCAATAAGGGTATATCTGCGTCGAAGTGGCAAGAACACTGTATAATTTTGTTGTTGCTTTTTATTTGTGTTGTTGTTGTTGCCACTCGTACGTTTTGAGTGTATAGGTAAGGGCATTTTTTGGCAGCGGCGCAATCAGCAATGCCGGCTGGTTGAAGGGCCAAGAGCTGCACGCCATTGTGTTTGTATGTAATACGACTATGTGCATGTGTTGGTGTTCCTGGTGTGTGTGTGTGTGTGTTTCTACTGGCCATGTTGTAAAACGTCAAAAGCGTTAAACGTAATTGAGCTGCGCGCACAAATACAAATAAATAAATGCCGCTGTGCCAGCCATTGTCCGAACTCGTCTGCGTCGTTCTCATGCGTTTATGTGTATATATGTTTATATGTGTGTGAGTGTGTGTGCGTTCATGTCGGTCGCTGAAAGTTGAAATGTTATTTGAAATGTTGCAACAGTGGCAACAGCAACAACAACACCAGCATGTACAACAACATATTTTTGGCACTCGCGTGTTTCAGTTCCTCGCCCAAAATTGGTATTTAATTTTCAACTCAACTTGCAGTCCTCAGGGTAAAGTCTATTTCAGCGCCTTTCCTGCTTCTGCTTGCGGTCCGCCAGCACCCCAGCTCCTCTGTCATGCGTAGACAGCAATTTGCGATATTCCGGCAGCCATCAGCAACTCAACTCATCAGCGATTCGCGCTCCTCTCATTTCCCATGAATTTTGCAGACTATTCATTTAATTGACAGCTGTTGGACATGAATTGAGTGGCTGCTTGTAACCTTGCCTATTTATTTATTAATTATTAGGACGCGTTTGAGAATATCCATCTTGATCTTATTTTTTAATATAAATAGTGTTCGCTGGTATTCGAGGAAATTAAATGGCAGTTGAATTGAAGATCGCTTGACCTTAGGCCAGAGAGTCGTTGCCCCATGATGTTGTTATTCCTGTATGTACTCGACAGAACCACCCTGGCATCGGACCAGTTCTGGGAGTAACCCTTAAACTATACAGAGTTCTACTTTATCTTCATTTTATTTAGTTTTAAGCAATGTGTTAGGCCTACGTCTTAGTACGAATCGATAAGATCATCTGCCATGCTTTTAAAGGCCAATACGCAATGATTCTCTGGTGTCTATAAGAAATCGGAATCGAAGCAAATTTAAGCAATTGTTTGTGTCTTTCTACTCTTTCCTTAAAAAGTCTAGCAATTAATGGTCTTCTGCAGGATGGTAAGTATTTAGCTTCACTTTCTTAAATCCGAGCTATGAGTTCTTTATCCGATTAGGGCATAGTTCTCCTGAGTTTTTATACAATAATGCAATCGTGCTGTTCTTAAAATTTTTTTGCTTTCACTTTAACCTGAAGATAATAGTAAGATCTTCAATATTCTATAACCGCGAAGGATTGTAAAAGAATTTCATTTTAATATATAAATAAATTGTTGTCATTTCAATATCTATCTGTAAATCGTATTTGGAGTATATAATTTGTTTTCGTCTTGTTTTCTTCTTCATTTAACTCTTCTCTACATTAAATAATTCGCGAAAAAATTGAGAATTTGTTGTTTTTTTTTATGAAAATCTGTGAAATTTGTATCCAAATATCGCAAATTTGTGAACAGATACAAAATTCTTTCTAATTTGCCTTTCCAACAAATATTTGATGATATTTGAAAACATATTTGAAGTCGGTTTGAAGATCTTGTTCGCTAAATGCTGAAACATTTTCAGAACGTAATGTTTTTCATAATTGCTATTTTATTTCACATTTCTAAGTAATTAAGATAGATAAATGATACTATGTTCTCCATATAGTTATATACATGTATACCATAAAAGCAGGTGTGTAATTTCTTAAGCTTAAGAAAGGCTGTAAATAAATGGAAAACACACATTTTTGACCACATCAATGTAAGTTAAAATGCCATTCAATCTGCTTGCTCAATTATATTAGCAAGTTAGTTTGTAAGTAATATTCAATATTCAAAATCAATTCAATTTTGCAACTCTATCCTTCTCCCTCTCTTTCCCAATCAGAGAATTGGGAAGCAGAGCAATTGCTTGCCTTGTGGCTGCGCAGCTGCCTACTACAATAACAATTATGCTAATAACAATAATGTTAATAACAACAACTGTTGTCGCTGCTGCATGTTAGCCAAATAAACGGCTTGAGGCGTAACTCAGTTTGGTGGCTTGACTCTGCGCTCTCCACCTGCCACTCCACACTTCGGTGGCCTTGCATTTGCCCAGCGGGCCTGTTTAAGTGGAAAATAATGCATAATTTATGCTCGACGACATTTTCCATTGCCTCAGTTAAAGTCTCAGTCTCAGTGCTGCTGGTCTCAGTCGCAGTCTCAGTCTCAGTCGCAGTCGCAGCCTCAGTTTCAGTCGCGCAGCGTTTGCATAACTTATCGCATTTCCTATTTGAGGCACAAACAAGCGAGCACACTCACACGCACTCACACACGGATGCACATACATACAAATATGTACTTGTATTGTACATATGTATTGCTCACGCTTATTTAATTATATAAATCGTTGAGACGGCAGACATAAATTTAAACTAAACAAAAGACATCGCAAGGCGTCGCAAGGCATTCATTTCAAGTGGAATAAATAAAAGCAACGCAGCAGGCACTCTCCAAGCACATTTAAATACAAACATATATTCTGCGCCTACACACTCACACACACATCCACACACACATATACACACTACAATAATTAATCATTTGGTTATAGCAAGTGGTACGTGGCGTATGCGTAATGTCAAATAAATTACCATTTAGAGGCATTTCCGCTTGCATGGGGTTTCGGATTACTCTCACTCCCTCACCATCCCGCGATTTTTTTTTCGCCCCACTGCGACTTGATGAGCTTGTTCCTGCTCGCATGGAGGTAAGTGAGAGAAAGAGAGCGAGAGAGAGAGAGAAACAGCTTTATTTTGGATCCATAGCCAGCGCACCTGTAGTTCCTGTTCATAAATTTGCAGCTTCGAGTGGTTTATAAGTCTCAGTCACGGTCTCGGTCTTGGTCGCGGTCCTGCTCTTGATATTGGTCTTGTTCTCGCCGCTCACCCCAATCCTTTTGGCAAATCTTTGGCATATTTTTCGCAATTTCTTTGCGTCTGCTTTCTAGTAGTATATTCATTATTTATGCTCCATAATCAATCAATATGCTGCTTGATTTTATTATTTCTTTATTTCCATGATTGTTGATGTCGACGCTAGCTTCGGCAGCGGCATTGCACAGTGAGACAATGGATCGCCCAAATTTAAAGGCTATAGAATTTAAAGATGACCAGCTGCTTACGATTTAGACTCTTTTGCTGGCAAATGGCAAATCTGAAACGTTCAGTAACTTTGGCTGAGAAATTGTTTAGAACTGTTGCAAATCAAGTTTAATATGACGAAGGTATGGACTTAAAGATAGGTTACTTCATTTAAACTTTAAATGGAAAGTCAGGCTATGTACAATTTTATTTTAATATGACGAAGGTATGGACTTAAAGATAGGTTACTTCATTTAAACTTTAAATGGAAAGTCAGGCCACGTACAAATTTTTTTTAAAATCAATAATGAATCAAAATACTGCTGATTAATAATTTTACTCTACAATTGCTATGAAACTGGATAGTCCTTATTGCTTAAAAGCTATGCTCACTTCTGATTATTACACGTCATAATGATCGATGGCGAATTATAGAATCTATGTTTAGTTGACTTTCTTGGTGTCTAATATCAATTGATCTTAAGAGCTTTGTTTGTATTTTATTGTGCATTTAAATACAAAACTTTTAAAAGCATAATCCCATGTGCCTTTCTCTGAGTGGATGATGGGCCTTTTATCATTCACAATCCGATGTAACAACAACCGATGTTAGCAACATTTCTTTAATAATTAACAATTTAGCAAAATTGAGCTAGAATTGCAATTTTTACTAGCACTATTTTTTGGGTCTGTCTTTGCCAGACTAAAAGAATTATTTAAAACTTTGAAAGAAAAATTAGCTTGAAAAAAGTTGAAGGATGATATTTTTAGATGACTATTGTTTACATTTTTCTCTTAGTATTCTCATTTATATTTTATAAAGAAATGCTCCGCGATGTAAGACGTAGACCCACTGTGCATTGGCTTCATTGGCGGCTTCGTTTGAACAACGCTCCGTCGTCCTTCGCCTTTGCCGCTGCTTGCGTTGTAATTCGCGTTAGTCGCTCCAGCAATTTATATCAATACAGGATCCAATCGCAGTCGCGCCGTCCTTCATTTTTGCGCGAGCTCTTCATGAATCTAAGTGTGTGTGTGTGTGCTTGTGTGTGCTGATTTGATGTTTTTCTTTTTGTCTTTGATTGAGCTTGTTATGTGCCTCTACCAGCCCCCTCCTGCTTCTGCTCCTCCACCTGCCCATTGAACTTTCCCACCCTGCTCCCCAGATTCGATAGCACGTTATATTTGTCTATCTAAATGCAAGCGGCAGCAACGCCATCAGTCATGGCCACACCCCATTCCTACCCAGCCCGACTGCTGCTCCCCGCAGCACCGCCCAAGGCCCATAGTCTTCATTGACGCTGCTGCCGTCGCTGCTGGTCCAATGATTTTCTATACGAGGGCATACAGTTTGAGAGCTTTTGATTCGGATTCAGATTCAGCTTCAGCTTCAGCTTCAGAATCTGCTGCTTCTGATTCGTTTCGTCGCACATGACTAGCAACGAAATTTAAATGTCACGTTGCGTCAAGAGTTTTAGGCAACGACTCGTGCCACTAGAGGGGCGGTACGTAAACAAACAAATACACAAAAAAAGAAAACAACCAATACAGCAACGTCATTTGTTTTAATCGACTTATGCCAACCTAATTTCCTGACTATTCGTTGAGGTCAGTGAATCAGCCAGTTAGTCAGTCAGTCGGTCAGTCTTTAAAGCCACTTTATGTGCTACACATTTTTTTTGCGGTCTCCTGTCTATCAATATTTATTATTGATTTTGCTATAAAACAGAATACCCAATGCGGCGATAAATTTGAAATAACGCATTTCTACCTTCCGGCAGGCGGCAACAGCTCCATAGAGAGATGATGACGAGGACAACAACAACAGCAATAGCAACAGCAACAGCAACAACAATAACAACAACATCATCAAAAACTTCAACAGTAGCAACAATGACATTGATGGCGGCGGCCCCAACGATAAATCTCAACAAATGACGGTGCAAAAAGTCGCTATGCGTTAAGGGCGCCCGGGGGCGACAATAATAATAACAACAACAGTATCAACAGTATACAGTGGTGGGCGTGGCAAGTGTGTAGGCGTCAGTGACAATAGTAAGTACGCATTAACGTTATAATTATTGAAGTTATTCCACTGCTACAAAAAAAGGCATCAGCATCACCAGTCGGGACACATATGCGCCGCATTTTTCAGGCATTAGTGTCATATATATGTGCATGTGTGTGTGTGAGCGTGCCTAAGTGTGGGTGTGTGTGGGTGTGTGTGGGTGTGTGTGTCACTGTTAAATATCAGCCACATGACACGCCATCAACATCAACAGCATTGCCATCATTCCAGACGTTGTTGTCGCTACCATCGTCCTCATCATCGTTGACATTCTTCTCTCTGCGTTCCTGTAGAAACTTTTAATCGGCTCTGCGTCGTCTCTCGGTTACGCGTTCGCATCAGGCCGCCCAGGCAAGACGCTGACATCCTTGCTGGCGTGCCTGCTCATCAGCGGCAGTAGCAGGCGCAGCAGCAGCAGCAGCAGCAGCATATAACGTCAAACTGAAATATACATTTGCATACACGGAGAGAAAGTCAGGTACTTATACTATTAATAAAAATTTATGCTTTTCATGGAACTTCAAAATATCATGGGGAACTATGAACATAGTTATCATATTTGCGTGAGATGTCTCTATGAATAAAAAGTGATATTTTTAAAGTTGGCTGATTTATAAAATAATGTTTTTATACCCTGTACCCGTAGGGTAAAAAGGGTATATTAGGTTTGTGCAAAGTATGTAACATACAGAAGGAAGCATCTCCGACCCCATAAAGTATATATATTCTTGATCAGCATGACGAGAGAAATCGATCTAGACAAGTCCGTCCGTCTGTCCGTCCGTCTGGATGAACGCGAGGATCTCAGAAACTATAAAAGCTAGAATAACCAAAGTTGGCATCCAGATTCTCCTAGGTCCGAGTAAGGACGAGTTTATGTTTTTTTTTTTAATTTTCCCCCCCTTCCCCCGCTACAGAATTTCGTCAATAGCGTCCACATTTCAAATGCTACCTAAACCAAATTTTGCACACATAATTAATATCGATTATATAAATATAATAATTAATTAAATCGAAAAATCAATCCCACTTCCGATTGCCTCTTTCAGTATGGATGCAGGGTATTAGGTCATGCAAGGAAGATTCCCGGGACTATATCATATCTAGAATGTTTACTCATTTGTTGATATTTTTCAACGCAACGCAAGGACTCTAACCAATTGTTTTGGGAGCTTAGTACGACATCCGCTTAGCCGTCTGCGATATATTTATGTGTTTTAAATAGAAATTAGTTTATTTAATAGGAATGGAAACATATAAATATCATAAGTTCCACAAACAATATGTATTTGACTTGAAAATTGTAAAAACATATACCTTCCTTTTGCTTTGTTGTAAATTTGTTATATTGTAGTGTGTGGGTAGATATGGTGTTTGTATTTATCCATTTTTGTTGCATGGGCAGAATTCGGAAGGAGTGCACTTCTTGCTACGCTCTAACTTAGCTCGCCGGATATGGGGATATGGGGATAATAAAAAAAAACCAACAGTTCAATTAACAATAAAATAAAAATCCAAAGTTGAAGAATAATCGTGCTTGAAACCCTACTGAATTGGATTGGATTTGACAATATCTAGTGAGGAGCATAGATGTTGTTAGCATCCTCGTCTGTACCCACCCGACCATGGCAATATAAGTTGTTTAGGTATTGCCCCATAAGAACTTTATATGAATAGTTAATTATAGGGAAGAAACATGATTTAAATTTTAGGCGACGGACCGAAAAAGAAATACGGTTAGCAATTCATGATTTCAAAATTAAAAATATTATTCATTTATTCCAAAACAATTTCATAGTTAATTTCATGTCTAATCAGAATTTATGTTCATTAAGACCCTAGCCTGATTGTATATGCAAAAAAAAATACACATATCCTATGAGTACATTTAAATATAATATGGTATATGCATTGTAAAATATATCTGGTAAATTTAATGATTCAGGTTAATTGTAGCTTTTAATTTGTCTGTGTTTGTACATACTTACTCAGCTTGGTGATCGTTGAGCTCAATCGAAGACGCAGCTAACATTACCACAGACTTTTGCATTTACAACTTATTAATTTGCATTAGAAATTCATTAAATTTATATATATATATTCCTAATGCATGGATATCATTGTTAACTAATTGGATTTATGTGGCCTTGCATATGCAATCAAGTAGATGGATTGTACATGTTTTTGTTGTTTTTAAAGAAAAAAAAAAAAGAAGAAAATTAAGTATTCATTTTAAACTAATCAATTATCATAGATTTTGCAAGTTTTAATTGAAATATCTAATCAAATAAATGTGCTAGTTTGAGCTATTTAACTATTATTGAATATGCAACCGTTGTAGTAAGACGACCGTTTGTATTTTGCAATGACGTTAAGTGTCATAGAAAACCGAATAAAATGGCCAAAGTTAATAAAATTTAAATGAACATAGGCTCGTTATTCAAAAGACCGTTTCCTATCTGTACTATTCCTTGTATTGCCGAGAAAGTAAAGTGGTGTAGCTGCTGGATCTGCGGTGCGGTGTAGACAAAATTATTAAAGTTGTTGCGTTGTTTCAGCACGGAATTATAGCCGCAGCAGGTTGGCCCTGAGCACCATACCTGCCGCTCGGGGTTATGAAACTCGATCTCTAAACAAAAAAAATTACTTTAAAAACAGAACGAAGCTAACCATATTGATTTACCTGGTGTAAATACAACTCTGCTTCCTTTAATAAATTAAACAATCTTTCCAGCGAAGAAAAGGGGTGGAATATTAATCCGCCGAAATCCAAGCAATCTCGAAATCTCTTTATACAATTTTATGCACTTTTGGCAATAATAATTAATAAATGTTGCACGTGGGCACTTTACAAAATTTTTAATAGAGATTTGGCAAGAAGTATGACCGTCCACATTCAGCTGATCTCAAGCAATGAATCTAATGCTCAGCTTGACCTTATTAAAAGGCTTTGGAAGGCCACGTGCTTGCACGTATGCAGACCTTGAGAGTGATAAGCTGCATTGGCTAAAAGCTCTCTCTCTCTCTTATCCAAGGTGACCGAAGAGATCAGAAGAGTTTATTAGGAGAGCGAAAACGGAGTTTTGTTTTCTTCTTCTTCTTTTCTTATCTTCTTTATCGCCAAATACACTCTAGGACAAAATAAATATTCCAGTCTAAACTGAATACCACAATATCAATGGCAAGCAGTTGTGTTAAGTGACGGCTTAAGATAATACTTGTAGATATATAGTTGATGAATAAATTAAAAGAATCTGTGAAGATTAACCGTGTCTTCTGTTCGATCGGACTGAGTTTAAAGATGTTTTCAATAACTTCTTTGACTTATACTGCCTCTATGCTAGATGCTATTTGCTAAAGATACTTGTTTTGCGATAAATGTTTTTTACAAATTAGTTTATTTAATAGGAATATAAATATATATATAGTAAATAATTCAAACCATTATCATTTCACTTAAAAATATTGTAGAAACAAATACCTATAATTTGCTTTTACTATTGCAAGCAATAGTCTTATGTGACTTCTTAAGACAATAGGTACATAGTTGTTGAATAAATTAAAAGAATTTTGAAAGATGAACTTTACGTGAAAAGTCGTCTTCCAAAACTTTTTTAGCTGGATTCCGACTGGCTTATCTGTTGTCCATTTCAATCAGACTGAGAATTTGAAGATGTTTTCGATGCAATCTCAGAGCTTTAAGTTATACTACTTATATGCTATTCAGGTAGGTCTTGGCGGCTCAAATGAGCATATTGACAAGCGTGAGCTTTCTATGCGCTCTGTTTAAGAACACCAAATTTTTTTGTCAGTGTATGTTCATTTAATGGCAACTGAGACTTTAGTGCACGTGCAGCTCACGCTCACATGAGTCGTTGGCTGCTGTTCCAGCTGCCGTCTTTGCACATTCGTCTTGTAAACATGAAGTTAAGCGCCATTAATTTACCTTGCCCCCACATCAGCCATCCTTCAGCCACCCTCGAGCCACCTCACGCCACCTTCTGCCACCTTCAGCCACCTCCTGCCAATCCTGCAACCTAAATTTTCCCTCATACGCGACGCACTTACCGTCGTCGCGCATTTGCATTGCGTTAAAATCACTTTGCCCTGCGTTGTTGCGTCGTATTAGTGTCTCGCCCCCTGGTTGCCGCAATTGCCGGTTGCCCATCAGTCGGCTCGGCACGTTCGTTTAAAATTTTTTAGCCGTCGTTGTCGTTGCTACCAACAACAACAACAGCAGCAGAAGCAGCAGCAGCAGCGGCAGCGGCAGCAGCTAAAATGACGATAGGAGCGGCAGTGGAAATGGCAGCGGCAAAAGTTTTTCTTTTTGATTTTTTACTTTTTACGAGCCGAGGCAGCAGCAGCAGAAAACGAATTCTTAAGTGAATTTCTGTATATGCAGCTTACGTGTCGAACTCTCCTTCGCTCCTTCCACCCCCGAGTCACTCCACTCCACTCCAACCCGCCAACGCCCACCAGTCACGCCCAATGCTACGTGTGATTTACGCAATGCTGCGAACTTTTAATTTAATTCACTTTGATGCGATTATTTCCCGCTTAAAAATAATTACGTGCGCCTCGCAAATCATTCGAGATGGCAAATGGCACACATTGCGTATGCGCAATATCTGTAATATCATTGCTTATTAGCCGAGCCCATGACACTCATTTGGTTGCTCAGCTACGGCCCTTAAAGATGCTCATGCCGATGCTGATGATGCTGATGAAGCCGATGATGTGTCTGATTTCTTTTGCCTGTCGCAGTTGTTTACACAACTAAAGAGCTCAAAGCTGCTGAGCACACCTGAGCAGACCTGAGCAGACCTGAGCAGACCTGAGCAGACCTGAACAGACCTGAACAACTGATTGTCATTTGGCTGGCGTCTCAAGGGGCTCCATGTTGATCCCTATTAGTAGCACAAACAAGACCAACAAGCTATCCACCTGCTAGCTACCTGGTCGCCTCTTCTATGTCCGCTAACCCAAACGCCGTCGCACACCCAATCCCATTCCCAACAAATGGACCAATGCGAGACTATATGTACAGATGTTATCTGTCCGACTGTAAGTCCATGGCTCACACGCATACGCACAAAATGCAGACAGTCCAGTGTTCAGTGTCCAGTGTCCAGAGCCCAGTGTGTGTGCTTGTGACTTTTTTCCAGTGTCCGGCTTAACCGCAAATCCTTTTTAACATATAAAAAGTAACATTTGTGGTTGCTTCAACATCGTCGCTTCATTGTTGTGTATGCGTTTGGCTGTGTGCGTGTGTTTGTGTGTGCGGGACACTGTGTATTCCCATTGTTGT